CAGAGCTTTCACCATAACAAAGCCTCGCACAAAAGCTGTGATACAGCAGCACAAAACCAGATGCAAAAATAACATAACATTCATCTATGTTGCTATAGTAACATAAGATGTCTTTCTAGGAATGATAATAAATAAATCAACAAATGGCATAATTCTTAAAGCATTTTTATTCTATGTCTTCTTTTCAGGTAGACATGTCTATTGTTTACATATAAAAAGTGAGTTCCTGGCACAAACCATGAGCTACATACCACAAAGAGCTATAACATGTAATTATTGATGGTACACAACTACTTACTGTCTTAATTTAACATTTTAGCATGACTTTCCCCTCTAAATTGAAGTATGATGAAATCATAATCAAGAGTTTTTAGTGATTATTGATTACTTTCCTATAAATCGGTCAATATATACATTATAAAGGTAGGATAAAATGGAAATTATGAACATTTATTGACTAGTAACAACCTTAGCAGAATAGCCTAATAACTAGACATCTGTTATGTTTTGGTAACCATTATCTAAGCAAGTTTATTATTCCAGTCTAGGGGGTGGGTGCATTGGGTAAAAAAAAACTCTACAACTACAACTAAACAACGCACATTTGATATCTTAGACTCACCGAGAACTTAATAAGGGCACTAATATGCGTAGCAGCAACATTATTCTCCCAACGAATAAGAGTTGGAACACTCTTGGGCTGAAGCCTTGAGTCTACCCTTCAAGTGTGCTAAGGTGTCCTCCAAGTTGGTCTATCTCCTTCATAAGCTCTCAAAAATGTAGTCATTACAAAAATCCAATATCAATATTAAAGCAACCTATGTAGAAGGGTTATTTATCAACCAGAAAGAGGATGTGATTAGCTTAAAAAATATGCAAATTCCTCTTTAAATTTATTGAACACCCCATTGAAGCTTGCTACTTTAGCATCCGTTATCTTTAAACCCCTGCTTTTTTTACCTCATAATTTTCTCAAAGAAATTAGAATATTGGCATATGCTTATGTTTTGAAATGCACAAAAAAATCTAAAATTTCAATCAATTCACATGAATATAATCAAGAGACTTCTATTCTCACTTTGAACCCATAGACATAAACATCAATAACCGAATCATAGCAAAAAAAAAAAAAAATCAAATAAATGCTTAAACAAACAGTAATATCAAACAATAATGTTCCACTTTTTATTTTATTTTTTTTTTAGAGAATCAAACAAGGCTCTTCATTTCTTATAAGTTCCAATGTGTGATTAATGGTTAATTTTACTGAAAAGAAACAGTAGCACACAAAAATTAAATAAACAATATACATACAGAAACCCTAAAAAATATATTGTTCATTAATCAAACCAATATGTAACCATAATTTTGTGACATTATTGAATATGAAAATTCTAAAAGAATCTAGAGAACCCAATTTTAAAAGTAAAAAACGAATAAAATAAAAAAGAAAGGATGTACCTCAATGTTATCGATCAGCGCAGAGATGATGAAATCGAATACACGTTATATAACTGATGATGAGTAGAGAAGGTATGATAATGTAAGGAGAACGAAGATCTATATATGAAGTCCAAGATTTAATAAACCTCCTTGAGAATTCAGAATGAAAATGAGATTAAGTTAGGGTTGAGAAGAGGAATGAAGGGATTTTTGTGATTTTGTTGGGTGATTTAATTTTTTGGAAAATTTGTAAATTACCATTCAAAAAGGGGTGCTATTTTGAAATTAACACCCAATAAAAATTTTATTTAAAATTACCACCCATTAAAAACAAAATTTTTTCAGATTACCACGCACCTTTTTTTGTTTTTCGGTGGAAAATCTGTTTGGGGGCCCCACATAACGGCTATAAACGGCTACTTTGACTCTCTCTCCCCGATTTCAGTTGTTTATAGATTGTCAAACTTCAATTTAAAAAATTTTGCCCCAAATTACATTCTAAATCCCTCAAATTTCAACTTGTATTGTTAGAAGAAGATATAAACTAAATTTCATACTCTGATTTTGCAGCTAAGGTATGATTCCAGTACTTCGTAAATTAGGGTTTTTTTTCTCTAATTTAGTAATTAGGGTTCATGAGGCAATAAAATTTGTGGCTTTTTGCAATTAGGGTATTTGTTTGCAATTAATTGTGCGATTTAGTTAGAATTCTGCTAATTTAAGTTGATGTTGTCCAAATTTGTTCTTCAATTGTTTATTATGCTGAATAATTGTATCTTATGTGATGTGTTTTGCGATTGAATGATTTGAATGATTCATTGATGCATGAAGTTGTAAGCTAGTTCTTTTTGTTTGTTTTTGGATTATGTCTTGTAGAAATGGAGGAGAATAAGTACATTTTCAAATTTAAGTATATGAGTGTTGTTGTTGACCTTGAATATGAAGTAGGCAAAAGTAACCTACAAGATACAGCCATAGCTTTTGAAGATCAACTTTGTGACATGGAATATCCAATAGAAGGATCAATTGACCTTCTTTACCCCATATTTCAGTATATCTATAAAGGAAAGTATAGGACTTTAGAAGATGATGGTGATGTGTTCAAGATGATTAGGAGGTTGGGAAAAAAGGATATGTACATCATACATGTTGGGAGCACAGATGACCCTGGTTTCTTGGCTGATTGCATCATTGAGTACAGGATGAAACCGAATGGGACTTGGCCACCCCCTTGTTATCCTCATTATGGTAGCCAACCACCACAGTGACTAGGTGTGCTTGACTTAGAATTGTATAATTGCTTGTGTTGCATAGACTGACTTGTTGTTTTGTAATTGCAGGTTTGATACATTGAAAATGAAATGGAAGGCTTTGAATGGGGACAGGAAGAAGATGATCAATGGCAGTGGCAATCCTGACAGCAACTTGACTCAAAGCTTGAAACTAGGATCATTTTAGATTTAGGTTCTGTTGTAGTTAACAAACTTGTTTAAGAGAGGTGTACTTATTATAGTAGTAGTTGATTGTAATGTTAAACTTGGTGTTTGGTTTGTTAATGCAATGAACAAGTAGTTGTGGTTTATATATTGTGTGTTTATTATTGCTTTATGTGGTTTGTATTTGCATTATGGCAATGAACATAAGTGCAACTGGTTGAAACTAGGATTATATTGAAGCAAACTTTCTTTCAAGCAACTGTATATGGCATTGAAATGAAATCCAAGTTTTTACAAGTCACAAAATACAAGCCACCACTAAATATAGTTAAGTACATGGTAGTTGGTGTTCTGAAAATTAAGCTTGTTGGTGTTCACAAAATACAACCTAATACTACCACCTTCTAATTGCACAGTGTCCAAAATATGACAACCTAACACTACCACCTTTTAATTGCTACCACCTTGGATCTTATAATTCATAGAAGTGGGAACAAGGTTAGCATAAGTAGTTGTTGAGGCTTGGCTTGGTTGACTTAAAGGTTGCTGCTGTTGACTCTGCCGACTCTGTTGACTTTTCTGCCCTGTTGTTGATGTTGGTTCTGATGTTGGTCCTTCCTGCACTGCTCTTGAGGGAATGTCATGTTCCCAATGCTGTTAGGTCCAGCTGTAGCACCAAGTGCACTCTCCTGTATTTGACACAGAACATTCCAATCAATATTCATCCCACTCAGAACAGAACAGAACATAACAAGAAAAAAAAAAAAAAAAAAGAAACCTTCTGCAATCCCCTTAGTTGTTTCTTCTTTCTTTGCTCTTTCACCCATTAAGTGTCTGAGGGGGGTCTGCCTCCATCTTTCTTTGGTGAAGACACAGCAATAAGAGTTACTGTAGGGTTCTTGCAAGTTTTTGCATAGTGACCTTGCTGCCCATATATTTTGCAGATGCTTCTTCTCTTCACAGGCTTCTGCACTTGTTGGCTTTGGGAACCCTCTTCTCCCTGTTCTAGCTTTCTTTTCTTTGATTTAGGTCTTCCAGGCTGGACTCTAATGGCTGGTGGCATAGGTGCTCTGAGCTTCACCTTCTCCCAATGGTGTGGGTCAGGCATAGGTTTCACTTCATACCTATAAGCCAACATATAGGTGTCCACAGAGTATACACTGTCTACATAGTCTTCAGGATCTGCCCTTTTGTCCATGATGCATGCATATGCATGGACACAAGGGATACCTGTAAGCTCCTAGTGATAGTAGGTGCAAGTTTGTTTGCTAAGGTCAACTGTAACTATATCAGAATTCAGTTCAACCTCATATGCATCATCCCTGGATACTTGCACAATACAATGCCTTGCAACAGCCTCAATTCTCTTGAATGTTTTCTTCACATAAGGTGTTACTTTGCCTTCCATTTTTTGATAACACTCCCACTTGTCATGGTTCCTTTTCATCATATACCTCCTAAGCCACTCCATTTGAGTCAAAATAGGCTTATCCCTAGCTTTTTTTATAACAGCATTAAAGATTTCACAAACATTATTAAGAAGCATGTTTGACTTAGGAAAAGAACTAAAGGCATGCCTAGACCAGTGCTCTGGTGGGATGTCAGCAAGGTACTCATATGCCTCCTCAGAAAGAAACTTAATTGACTCCATGGCCACTTCAAAATCAAACTATAAAAGACAAAAAATAACTAGTAAATACCTAACATATAACCTAGATTATGGACAGTACAACCAAAACAAGATTTTAACACATTCTAAGTATAATAAAGTGGTGTCTTTTGTGACTTACCAAGGTAGTTGCTCTGGCAGCTGACCAAAATAACTCCTTAAATGTCGAGCCACTGAATTGTAGCTTAAAGTTAGCCCAAATGTGCCTGACACAGTACCTTGTGTCTGCATTTGGCACAACTTCACTCAAAGCTTCCAGCATGCCCTGTTCACAAACCACAATCAAGCAACAACAATCATTTCATTTCATTAACCAAAGTTAAGACTGGAAATGGAAGTAACATATTGAATAAACAAAATAGGCTTACCTTTTGTCTATCAGACATGAAAGTATAACCAAGGCCTCCATATTCATCTTTTAGTGTATCCATCAGCCTCTCAAGAAAGAAAATCTATGTTTCTTTGTTCTCAATCTCAACTGTAGCCCAAGCAATAGGGTAAATGTGGTTATTACCATCCTTACCAACTGCTACTAGGATCTGTCCTGGGTGGGGACCCTTCAGATGAGTGCCATCAAGCCCTATCAAAGGCCTGTAGCCAGATAAAAACCCTTTGGGTAAAGGTGCAAGAAACATGTACATTCTTAAGAATAATGGAGGTTCAGGCTTCTCTACTCCATCAACTACTACTACACAACCAGATCTAGGGCTATGCTTAATAACAACCTTACCATAGTCCCAAACTCTAGCATACTGTTCTGATGCTGAGCCATAAATCATCAGTTTAGCCCTTGCCCTTGCCATCCAAGCCTTACTGTATGTTATTTCTATCCTAAGGTCCCCTAAAACTTTCCTTCTGAAAGCTTTAATCTTCAACCCAGGATCTGATCTGAAATCCTCAATGTACTTCTCAGCTAAGTACTCAGCAGTTAAGTTATGATTGCTTCTAACCCTAAGACAATTATGCTTCAAATTCAATCTCTTTATTTGCCAAAAATCTTGGTTTACAGACCTTCTAACCACCACCCTAAAGTGACATCTTCTACCCCCAACACATGTACAAGTAGGAAGACTACATTTTTTAGCATTCCATTTACACTGACACCTCTTCCTACATTGTATTGTAATCTTACTACTATCATTATGCAAATACCAATATTCATACCTGTTTTCAATGGCATGAACCCTAAGAGCTTTCCTCACCGCTGTGTTGTTAATGAACTTCTGATATTTCACCAATTGGATTGGTTTCTTGAAGTCAGTTAAAGCATGTAACCATGGACTAGGATCATGTTCATCATCAGAAGCTCTTGGACTGTCCAAATCTTCAGAATCTGAAGTATACTCTTTCTGAAGAGTTACCTCTTTCTGTAGTAGTTCACTTTCCAAAAAGACTTGCTCTTCATGTTTGTCTTCCACATCCTTCAAACTGGCATTCACCTCTTCTATAATTTTTCACCCACTGTCCTCCAATTGTTTGGCCTCTTCTGGTCCCTTATCTTCACCCTCCTCTTCCCCAACATCCCAATCTATGTCAGTATCAACAGACCCACCAGAATCAGATCCAGAATCTGATTCAAGCACAAGCTTTCTCTTGGTCTTATTTTTCCCTTTTCCCTGAGCTTTTCCCTGAGCTTTTCCCTTCACTGTCTTCCCCCTAAAAGTACCTTCCTGCTCACCTTATTTCCCCTTCCCTTTTACAATCTCCGTAGGAACCCTATCCCCAACATTATCTGTTTATTTATCACCCTCTGTCACACCCAAGTCTTTTTGTTGTTTTAACCTAGGGCTTCTTCTAATCTCAATGGGCTTGGCAACAGTGTTTTGGCTATTTTGGGTAGGCTGAATAGAAATGGTTTCTTCACTAACAGCCCTAAATTGTTCTTCGCTAGTACAGTAAAGTGAAACAAAGCCATCCTTACTTTTTGTCTCCAAAAAGCCCTTGACTTCCTCATCATTCACAATTTCCCTTTTCCCATTTGACCAAAGCTTTCCCTTTTTTTTTATACCAAATACTCCACACACTAGGCACATGCAAATCCAACTTAACAAACCCCCAAATGCAACTCTCTCTAAGAAAGTGCACTGACATGTCACTCACTTTACAACCATGCCTCCAAAACTCCCATCCTCCTTCATACACAACCAAATTCCTTCCCTTTATCTTTTTTTTTAACAAACCCACCACCTAATCTAACCTTAACATCCACAAATTCCTCATTATCAGGGTCCTGTTCATAGTAATAAGGCAGTAATCAATCATTAAGTTTGGCAGTCAATAATTTACCAACCCAACACAATTGTTTATTCAATTCAACACAAGTGGCTTAATTAAACAATTCCCCCAATTACACAACAATTACAGTTCCAGAGCAATAATAAACAAATGTGAAGATAATCCATTACAAAATTAACCCTAATTTTACACATAATTGCAATTATACTATCAACAACAAACAAATACAAAATTCAACTGTATAAGGTCAAAATTGCTTACCTCAGGAGTCGCCATTGACATCAGCAAGTGACAGGAGCTTCAACTACACACTTCGAGATGGCGCAATCAACAGTACATGCAAGTACAACCAAGCATTCAATTTCCAGAAAAAAGTAGACTTAGGGTTTTGATTAAATCCTATATGGGTAGTTGAGAAGTTGACAGAGAATTAAAGGAAGAAAGAGGGAAAAAATTGATGATTTTTGGTTAGATTAACAGAAGGAATTGAGGAGAGATGAAGAGTATGGAGTTTAATGCAACAGTTAGAACATTAGGTCGAAGAAAAGAAAAAAAGGAGGGAAATTAAAATGGTGGGACGCACAGTCGGTTTTTTCAACCGGAAAACATAAAAAGGTGGTAATCTGAAAGAATTTTATTTTTAATGGGTGGTAATTTAAAATAAAAATTTTTTTGGGTGGTAATTTCAAATTAGGACCCCTTTTTGGGTGGTAATTTGAAAATTTTCCTAATTTTTTTCCCAAATCTCGGAACCGAGGGTTTGGGCAATTGATCTAAATCATCTACTCACGTGCACCACATGTGATAGAATTCTCGACGCTTTTACTCGTCGGAATCAATTTAGACCCTAAAAAGCATCCAGAAAATGCGGATACTATATTTGCAAGCTGACACTCATGGTCTAGCGTCGAGGCTTCAGCGTAAAAAAAAAAAACTCATTTTGTAGTAGTGTATATTAATTTGCTTTGCTTTTCTCTTCTTTCAATTTTTTTTCATATTTAAAATTATTCATTGTCCTCGCCTCTTTTAACCGTGGACGGCTTTTACAACTTTGCATTTTAATGTCCATGCCTTTTTTAACTTTGGACGGATTTTTCATTTATTCATTTTCCATTATTCACAAGATATACATAACACAAGCTTGCTTACAAAAAGAACCAATATCCAAACTTATTAACCACAATCTTAAAAATCATGATCAATTGCTTCACAAAAACCATAAATGGAACAAAAAGAAACAAAAGGCTCAAAGTTCTAAAGATGTGGCTTGAAAAGAAGGGAAAAATCTCAAATGGGTAGTAAGTAGGCAAATGTAACCCCGAGGACTAAAAATAAAGAAGATTATCCTAGAAAATAAAAATTACCACCCCGAAAAGATGCTTTGTCCTCCCGAGATGGCTCGGTCTCGTGTTTGAGAATTATGAGTCAAGATTCAAGATTAGGTATGCAATAGTCAATGTTCCATTCCGCTCATGCAAGTAAGTGAAGAAGGCTTGAAAATTTATGAACCTCACATGGATGTATCAAAAACTCACTAAAGGTGTCAAATCAACCATAGGAAGCAACTATCAAGCATGCCACGAAAAAAATAGAATCAGATTTCATGATCCTCGTAGTTCTTAGACATGCTACCTTAGCATACGCTATCCTAGAATCAACCAAGCATAATCTCAAACAGTGCATACCACTACCAATTAGGAAGATGATCATTCAAAAGCAACAGTCTGTTGGTATATAGATTCACAACAAAAAGAACAAAAAAAATAAAGCCTCAAAAACATTATCCAAACTAAAATAAAAAGAAAGAAAAATAAGGAAAAATTAAAGAAAATAAAAGAAAATAGGAAAACAAAGATAAAAGAAAAGTAGGAAAATAAAGAAAGGAACAAAGATGCAAGTAGAACATGTAATTCCCAATCATCAAAAGTGGTCATACGACAACAACGTCAATGACCCCAAACACTCTAAGGCGTTACAAGCATTACATCCTCGAACCATTCAACTTCTCCTAAACTAATCCTAATCTATGCATCTAAGAAAAGAAAATAAAAGAAAGCAAATAAGAAGGATCTCACCGGGCTTCCAAGCAATGATTAATAAAAATAAGGCGAAAAATTACCACCTTCATTAAGCTCCAAGAAACAATAGCATCGTCATCAAATCTAAGTGAGAAGAAAAATAGAAAATAGAGCTATATACAAAGAAAACGGTTAGTAACTTCAAAATAAAGTAAAGGAAAGAAAACTAAACAAAAAGGAACTGCAAAGCAAAAACAAATGACACTACCAAAAAGAAAGTAAAAATAAGCAAAGAAATCTAAAGAAACTATACACTAAACTAGCAACTAATCATCTAAATTACAAGATTTGGATTTAAGGGATTTGGATTCAAGGGATTTGGATATTAGGGCTTTGGATTTGCAGGAGAAAACAACATGCATCATTATCAAAGGAATCAACACAACAACATCATCAAGAGAGAAAGAATATAGATGAAAAGCTCATACAACAAATAAACACCATCAAGAAGAGGCTAAGGCATGCAACTATCAATCATCGAGGCAAGAAAGAGACAAGGAAATATCCAACAACAATATTGGCCACCGAGATAAGCCCCTAAAAAGATAAAGTTCCCCAACCTTAACATGAATACATCTCAACATCCCATCAATGCAAATCAAACAACACATAAAGTAAGGGATGGAGGAAAAATGCACAATGTATGGGAACTAGCTACCACTCGGCCCGACATTATCATTGTCATCCTCATCATAGGAGAACCCGGATGGGGGACCATAAGGATCCCATCCCCCGGTGTAATCGGGCGGCCAACCGTAGTGCCCATTGAAGTTTTCTTGTTGCCAAGGGGCAAGGGGAGAATATTTCTCGGACAAGGCGAGCGGTAGTGGATGATTGGGGTGTACATAGGGGTAGTTAGGATCACCCCTATAATTGATCCCACCGGGAACACGGTAATCGTAGTTACCGTGCTCATCGAGGAATGAGCGAGTATCGGTGTTAGACCCCGAGGGTCCTTGCCAATAAGGATACCTACTTGATGGAATAGGACCAAATTGGTGTGTAAAGTAAGGATAGTTAACCGGGGGGGGGGGGGAACTTCCCCACGGTTAACACTAGCATCATACAATTTTTGTTGTTGGAGAAACATACGTTGTTGCATCTTCGAAATGCCTCCTATTTGATTATACATTGTCGCAAAATCATAATCATACATGCCTTCCAAATGAATTTGCATCCCCTTCATTTGCCTACTAAGGGCATCCATATCGAGATTAGCAAACTCGTATTCTTGATGTTCTTGATGTTGTTGTTGTTGTTGTTGTTGATGCGGACTTTGTTGTTAATGTAGTTGTTGTTAATTTTCCTGAATTTGCCGCTCTTCATTCAAAACATCTTCCATGTCTTCATCCTCCCCGAGGATGCGGTTACTAGAGGGCACAAACCAAACATTTGGGGTAACCCGGTGAATAGAGGTAAGAGAAGGGTTTGGAAGATAAAACTAATTAGAGTTCCTACAAAGCCAATCGAACACTTCATCATCATCATTGCGAGCCAAGAATTGCACTTTCTTAAGTTGAGCGGTGTTGAGGTATAAGGTGTCAAGATCTCCCACCGGCGTGCAAGAAAGAAGGTACCTCTCATACCCAAGCTTTGTAGCTAACCTTGTGACCATACTACCACAAGGTATATCACCCGGCCGGTTGCCCCTTATCTCCATGCAACTCCTCCAAAAATATACGCCCCAAGTTCAATCGACCTCGATACTCTTCCTGAGTTGTTATTAACAAAGCCCGCAACTCCGGGAGAAACATATTTCCCATGTCTTGCTTAGGGAACACCAAGTACCCCAAAATTCTATGGATCACTCTCAAATAAGGTTGATATATATCGCTTGCAAGAGATAATCGAGCGCCGAACTGATCCAAACCCGAGATAGCTTTCCAGAAGGATTTTTGAGAGAAGCCCTCCAAATGCTCATGCTCTCGGTCCGAAAAGAATAAATCTGCATGAGGGTTGAAAACCATGGCCACATTGCACTCGGCCAAAGACATGACATGAACTTTGTTGAAGAGCTGGAAGGAGACCTCATAGTCTTTGTCACCCACCGGAGTAGTACTCAAAGAAGCCAAAAACTCCCAAGTAGGATGAAGATAGGTTCTATAACTTCAAGTGACAAAGGTACTCAACCCAAGATTATCAAAGAGAGACCACAAATCCTCATCGATCCCCAGTTTAATCATGCTATGTTGATGGTAATGCCGTGAGGGCTTGTAGGTTCTCTTTTTGAAAGTTGAATACAGAGGTTTGGCTGCTTGATTAGAGAAATGGGGTTTAGGGAGAGGTAGGGGCTCAAGGCTTTGTGTTTGAGGAGAAGAAGTGCTTGAAGGTGATGGCTCATTTGTTTTTCTCTTTTAGGTTTTGGAAGTGATAACTTTCACAATTCTCGACATGTTTTCTTCAACAATTTATCACAACCACGATCACAAAACAACTTCACATAACATTTCAACCACCAACACTACACAAGAACCACTTCGCTCAACCAACAAATTTCACTTCACAATCAACACTACCAAAAATCACCTTCCACAATTCACAACAATTTGGCACAATTTGGCTACAAAACAATCAACAACACAATGTCAAGCAAAATAAATCACCAATAACACAAATAACCAACCCAAATTACACAATCAATCACCAAGTTCTTCAAATTACATACTACTACTATTCACAATCATAAACAATCAAAATCTTGCAACAAAATGATACAATTATGCAAAATAGAGTCAAAGAAAGAGATTATACCACACTTGAAGCAAGATTGATCAAGAAAAAGCTACCAATTCTTACTAAATAAAAAAGCCCCTAATTTGTCTTCAATGGAGGAGATAGATTGGAGATTGAAAAATATGGGAAAGTAGAATGATTTTTAATGAGTGTGATAAACTTGGAGAAAGAATTAGTTGATTTGGTTGATTTTTTTGATGATTAGAGAAGGAATTTTGATTGATAAAGGGGGTTAGGGTTCATGGATGTTGCTTGGAATGAGAAGGAGTGCGCTTCAGGGTGAGGATGAGGGGAAATGAGGGAAGGAAAGAAAAAAGAAAAAAAATACCCTCGGATGCTCGACCGCGTGGCTCGCGCGCTCGCGCCAGCTGTTGCACTACTTTGCTCAATCTCTTCTCCTGGTGCGTGCATATATGGGCTCAACGATCTTTATCATTCCGGGATTATCGAACCACTAAAACGACCAGTAACTAAATTCATTTTCAATGGGTTCAATACTCCAATTTAATGAGAGCACCATAATAAACCCACCAAGTTCATATTTACTTCAAATTATAGCAGATCTTTTCCTAACTTACCTCCTACATTATCTTACCCATTCCTCTCGAAATATAACAATATCGAGCATATTCTCACCCAAACCATGAAACAATTTCCCACTATGCTCAAGCTCGCTCGAAATAATCCAACTCCGATGAATTCAACCTATTAATCCAAACAACAACACAAGTGAAAGAAATAAATTTAGAAAAATAGAATCAAAAGAAAAAAGTTAGAGAACTGGGTTGCCTCCCGGGAAGCGCATGCTTAAGGTCCTAAGCTCAACCCTTCCTCCAAATCACGGAGAGTCAAAAATCACCACCTTATCTAAAGTTGTGGAAAGGGTAAAACCATTGCAAGGCTTGTTCAAAATCATTTCATGAACCATGTCATCTTGAATCATGGAAACCGAATCAAACTCTTCGAACTTTAAATTACGCTTGTATTTCTTGGAAAATCTCTTCATCTTCTTTGATTTCTTCTTCCTTGGATCTTTGAGATCTGCATTTTCACCATTTGAAAAACTATTTTCATCTTCCTTCAAACCAAAAGGGAATCTCAAACTCATCTTAAACCTTCAATGAATCCTTTTCTTCTTCACTAACAACCTTGCTTTCAACACTTTTAGGAACATCATCACAAGCTACAAGATTTTCGTTAGTAGAAGAAGCAAACACAAAATCATTAGAATTCGAAGACAATGAGTTTATGCACATAATTTCGTGCACATAAGATAGAGACTCATGCATTGACTTGAGCTTAAAACTCGCCTTACTATCACCAACACAAGAAGTAATCATGCCACCTTTCACATCTATCAAAGCACCCGAAGCTGCTAAGAATGGCCTCCCTAGGATGATAGGAATTTTTTCATCTTCCGCAATCTCAAGCACAATGAAATCAACGGGAATAGTGAACTTTCCTATTTTGAGGGGCACATCCTCAATTCTACCCTTTGGGAACTTAATAGAACGGTTGGCTAATTGAAGGGTCATGTTGGTTGAAAGGAGCTCGCCTAACTTGAGTTTCTTGAAAACGGAGTAAGGCATGATGCTAACATTAGCACCAAGATCACAAAGGGCATTTTGAAACAATTTCCCATTAATATTACAAGGAATAGAGAAATTTCCTAGATCATTCATCTTTGGGGGCAAGTCATTATGGATAAAGGCACTATAACACTCCCCCAAACTCACCGGTTCAACCACACTACAATCTCTCTTACCGCTCAAGATTTCCTTAAGAAATTTAGAATAGTTAGGCATTTCTCCCAAAACATCGGTGAAAGGAATAGAAAGATGGATTTTCCTTAGCATCTCAATAAATCTCCCAAATTGTTCATCCAACTTGTACCTATTGAACCTTTGGGGATATGGAAGTCTCGGTTTGAAATCCTCATCTTGTTTCCACTCTTTCTCAACACTCTTCTCATTAGAGCTATCACTCATCTTGCTAGACTCATCACTCATCTTTTTCTCTTGAATTCCTCCTTGCTCATACTTCTTGACACATTTTTCTCATTTTCCTCACTTTAAGTCACTCCTCTTCTCATCCTCCTCAATCATCCTAGAAACTCTCCCTTATAGCACTTTCCCACTCCTTATAGTGATGGAATAAACAGGTTTCTTAGGATCAACTCCTTGAGAGGGTAATGAAGAAGGGTTAGTGCAATCCTTCAAGGTATTGGCTAGTTGAGTTATTTGGGTCTCAAGCATCTTATTATGTGTCATCATTTCATTAAACTTCTTATCACTTACCGCCATGTAAGTGTTCAAAATCTTTGTTTGATTTTCAATGATCTCCTCTAAGGTAGTCTTGGAATATTGGGGTTGAGCATAAGAATTATCACCATTGCCTTGAGGTCTTGGAGAAAATCCGGGTAGGGGTCCCCTTTGGTTGTTGTTTTGAAAATTTCCCCTATTTTGATTGTTCCAATTATCTCGGCTTTGATTGTTGCCAAAATTTTGGTGTTGGCCACCAAAACCATGAGATTGGCCTTGATTTCGATACCCTTGGCTTTGGTTTTGATTGCTATAACCTTGATTATTATAGTTACCTCGGAAACCTTGATTTCATTGGTTCTTATAACCACCATTATTGTAGTTATCAAAGCCACTTTGTTGGTGAGCATTCCTAGTCCCAAAATTCCTTAGACCATCAAATCTTTTTCCATTATTATTGTTGGAAACAAAGTTTACTTGCTCACAATCATTGTTTTCAACACCATCACAATTTTCAAAAGCATTTGGACAATTAGAGGAGTCATGGTCATAAGACCCACAAACATCACAAAAGACACAACCACTTGGCATAGTATTTAAAGTAGAAGGAGGAGTAGAGTTAGAAGGTGTACCTTTCCCCTTAATGTGGGAGGGAAAACTTGGTGCAATCGAAGAGGCACTCTCTAGCTTGGCCTTGATCAATGTCATCTCCTTCCCCAAGTTCGAGATTTAGGAAGACAAATTATTAATCGCATTGAGATGATCAAACGAATAGACCGTTGAGCCACTCTTTCTTGTAGACTCTCTCTCTCTCCCTCTCCCTCTTGCCAATCCATGTAGTGACGAACTACATCTTCAATTATGTCTACAACCTCTTCCTCGGTCTTGTTCATGATCGGGCCTCCGACTCCAGCATCAAGACACGACTTCCCTTGGGGGATCAATCCTCCATAGAAAATTTATATGAATTGGTAAGTCGGGATTCCATGGTGAGGACATTCTCGTTGATACTCCTTGTATCTTTCCCAAGACTCATACAAACTCTCACTAGGCTTTTTCTTGAAACTTTGGATTATAGTTCTTGCCTCGGTGGTCTTCTTTTGAGGGTAAAAACGGGAAAGAAACTCCTTAGTCACCTCATCCCAAGTTCTCAAGGAATTAGGTTTCCCTTCCTTGTCTAACCACTCTAAAGCTCTTCCGATTAGAGAGAACGGAAATAGCTTGAGCCTTATGAATTCTTGAGAAACCCCATTAACCTTGATTGTATTACAATACTTCTCGAACTCTTTAAGAAGATTTAGTGGGATTTCATGCTTGACACCACTAAATTGCCTTCGTTCAATCATTGCTATCATTGCCGGCCTTATCTCAAATTCATTGGCGGGTATTGTTGGTGGAGCTATGCCACTCTCGAATCTTGATAAGTTCTTATTTTATATACTTTATTAGATCATATAATACTATTTTTGAGTATAACTTATGTTCTTATATAGGTTTCAATGGTTTATTATGAAATTTACCTTGTTAAGCTAAATTAATAACTTTTACTTAATAATGTTCATCATATGCAATTTTGACTAAGGAACTACTAAAATTCCATCTTTCTTATTATTACAGGTTAATTGCATATGTGACGAAAATAACAAGGTCCACTAAAAGAAACAAAAAGACCACATTTTACTCTTTCATGTGAGGTGCATCACTAAACAAGGATTAATGGGTTTTCAACCTATTAACTTTTAATTGCCCAAGAGGAGAAAGCGGCAGAAGTAGAGGAAAACCCACAAACTTAACCTACAGTATAAAGAGGGAGTGGCAGCTGTTGAGGGTAAAAATACCCCGCACACGTGGACCAGTCCCATAGCGACACGTGGCCCAATTAGAGGGCGACACGTGTCACTATGGGAACATGCCACGTGTCCAGCTTAAAAGCCCTCAAAGAGCTTTGGCCAATTCTGTAGCGCCACGATGCCCAATGAGAGGGTGACACGTGTCATTACAGGAAGGTGCCACATGTTTAGGGCATACATGGCCCCTCAGATCAGCACGTAAAAGAGGCCTAATTACATCAGGGCCCTGTAGGGAATATTTCAAGCATTACCCCTAGCTTGAACCCCACTATGATCATACACTAAAGTACGGTGGAATCCAAAGGGAAAAAAGATAGAGCAAAAGAGTTGCCAACAAGTTTTTTTAGGAACTTGTAAACCGTTTACGAGGTGAAGGTTACAACCCTTAACGATCCAAGAGATCGTCAACTCCAATAGGTCTGGAACCAAGACTGGTGTTCGGGGATGAAGGTACAAATCCAACCTAAAAGAGATTGAACTTGCCCTAATAATAGGCCTCTACTTTATTCTGATCGTATTCATGTGCGCTTTCTGACTAACATACAATCAATAGGATTAACCCTAAACCTGTTTAATCTATGTTGGTTGAATTTAATGCACAAATAAACTATTATTGGCGATCACTTGAATTATAATCGAATTAACCCTAAACAAGATTATTAATTATCTTATATAAGCGTGATTACAAGTACCAATTCCCTTTAAACATGCATAAAAGGTGTGATCAAGCAATAAAAATAAATATCAAGCAACATAATAATAATCATAATGATAATAATAAATCATAACAATTATAAAAAGAATCACGTCAAAGCATAATAATAATAGCAATATGCTAGGCATGATACTAACAATATTAATAACAAACCCTAGCATGTCACTAAGCAATAAAAATCCAAGCTTTAGCCCTAACATGATACTAACAATCATAAATATTAGAAAGAACATAGGAAGCATCATAATAATCATACTTGGTATTAAATTTACCCTAGACATGATACTAAGAATCAAAATAACAACCTAAGCATGAATTCTACATAATAACATCAATAAAAACCATTAAAGCACTCACTTGGATGCCTCGTATCTCTTTCTAATAACAAAATACACGCGTTAGTAACTTCAAGGAAAATAATAAACAACGATAATTAAATTAAATAATTGAAATAGAGATTTGGGACCAAACCCTCAGGAATTAAAACCTTTCACGTCTAGGGCGAAGGCAACTTCGAATTATGCTAGGTGTGTCTAGTGCTAATGTATGAGGAATTGTGTTTGTAAAAAGCTAGGCTTAGAAAGTGGGAGAGAAAATCAAGAATTTCTTGATGAGAGTTGGTGATAATTGGTTAATGAAAACGGAGTTTTTAGAAGACTATTCATAGAGAAAATCAGCCAAAAAGATGAAATTCTGACGCGTAAAACAGGGATTAGCGCCAGACGCTGACATTAGCGCCAGGCGCCAAGCTTAGCGTCAGGCGCTAATGCTAGCGTTTGGCGCTAACTTAATTATTACGCGTTTTCTAAAATAAGATAGAAATTGACCGTACAGGAGGATAAAATCGTATTTTCCTCAAAAACATTCTTTTGTTCTGATTAAACTCTAAATAGTTAACAAAAGTCAATTTATCAATGCTAATCGAATTAGGAATGAAAAGAACCTTCTAGAAGAATCTAGAAGACTAAAACAATTCCTAATTTCGTTAGGAATGATAAATCTATATTAGGCCCTCCTCTAGATCATTGGGTCGCATATAAGGCTCAAACCGGGCCCAGTTCAGTAAATTGGCCATAACTTCCTCAATATTCATCGGAATTGGGCTTATAAAATAACGTCGGAAAGGTCTTTTCAAGCCCTATCCAACTACACTACTATTGGACCCATATCATGGACCAACCAAACTGGATTGGCTGTTTTCTTAAAATAGGTTTTCAAAAACAGAGAGAAGAGAAAAGAAATTAAAACTATCCGCATCACTAAACTTTCCACACTTTCACTTCATTCAATTATGATTCGACGTGAAAGGTACTCATCAGTGGGTTTGGTTTTGGGGAGACACAAATGGGTGTCTACATGCCCAAATCCCGAGAGATATCATTGAAAGCCGCAAAGCGGCGCCCCCAAAGCAACACGTGGCGTTCTCCGATTGCGCAGCCAATCACGTCACGCAATTTTAGGGTACAAACTCTAAAATGGGGCACAAGCTCCTCCCCTATAAATACCCCAATCATTTATGATGGGAGGGGTGGATTAAGACATTACAAGAAAAAGAGCATTAATAGCTCCAACTTCTCTCTACTTTCTCTCTCTAGCCTATTCCTTTTCCGATCACTGACTTGATCGTCGGAGGTGAATATTCCGACAACCAGAATATTCGTTGTTTTGCAGGTGCATCCGTCTCGTTGCCAGAAGAGCGTGACCAGTATCCAAGGAAATCCAAAAAATACCCGAAACATTTGGCGCCGTTTGTGGGAATACTCGTACGTTATGGCAATAGAAGATCAGACACCTAATCCAGGCGAGGACGGACATTTAGAGGATATAATCCCTGCAATCCGTACCAGCGATCTGCTAATTGCCACATTTTAAGAAGCTGATGACCCTCTTGTTACCGCAGCCTCTCTGATGGACGCACTCAACAAGCTACGGAAGGAGTTTGAGAGCAACGGAGCCTCTACCTCTAGGCAACCTCCTAGGAGAGAGGGGAGAGGGCTCCGAAGAAAGCACAAAGAAAAACGGCCCATGCAACGGACGCTGGGAACACTCCCTTTCGTAAGCCGACTGGAAGGTCCCCAAGGGTACCGCGGACAAATTTCTCTAATCTGTTGGCGAAAACACAGTCGGATGGGGGGAGGAGTAGGCAGCCTCGAAGAGAGGAGCCTGAGCCGTCTAGACGATGG